GATGCGTGGACGCCTTTTGGTCCTGGTTGGTGCTACCAACCGGGACAAGAGGCCCTCCTGACTGGGCAAGCCGCAGCGGCCACATGGAGCCCCATCTGTCCCAGTTCATAGGCGAACCGGGACTAAAGGTATTGTGCTTTAGTTCTGACACTTTAGTTTCGGTTCGGGAACCAGGACAAATGTGCCTTATGAACCGGGACAAATGCGCCTTTTTCTACTAGTACTTTTTCAAATAAATATTTTAAAGTTTGTCCAACATTTATTGTACTAATTTCATGCTGTAGATGCAATATTTTCTTTATCTAGCTTGACTTGACAAAATGTAGAATACACTACATTATGAAATGACGGGAGCACTAAAAGTTACTCCCTCCGTTCCACAATATAAAGCTTTTTATAGCAAGCTAAAACTAGCTTTCTAAAAAGGCTTACATTATAGAACAGAGGGAGTACATGGTTATCTTAATGAATTCATATAGGAGAATTCGGCCACTACCTCTAACATAATTGTCTTTGTAGGCTGCCTCAAATCGGTGTTCTTTATACGCAAAAGAATAATGGTACGTTACAAAGAAAGACATATCTGAATAATTATTGTAAGTAATTGTGCTTTGGGCTCACCAATAAGTAATTAGAGGTGCAATATTTGATTTGACTATGTGAATCATAGTATGGGACAACAGTACAACACTCTCGTCATAGCAATTGTAAGCGGGCATATCCCTTGAAATCACCTCAACCCAGTAGAGGCGATGATGGTCGGCAGAGCCTGTGATAGCGAGCACCTGCACCCTCACGCTTGACCACAAAACAGACGGGCCGTAAGTAGGTAGCCCAACCGCGACACTTGGCAGTGTGCAGAAAATACAAGAGAGGAAGCAAGCAAAGCAAAGCAACAGAAAACCTGACAAGTAACAAGAAATTGACATTCTTGATATAATTCCTCATTAGTCCTTTGCAATATCCTACTTCTAGGTTGATCTTTAGTTCTTTACTACGGTACAAGAAGCTGGGAGCTTGAAAATAAGGCTCCCTGCAAAATGCAGGAAACGCCAGGGCTGTATCCTTATATGGGTACGGTATATATATATATGCAGATCATGAGCAGAACCTTTGGAAATTGTAGTTGCGTTGAGGTGCTGGGCATATGGCCCTTTTTTCCTCCGAAAAGGGGATAACCCCGGCCTCTGCTGCATATCGCAGTGTCAGTCGCGATCTGGAGTGTGTTGCTTGCATCCCCTGGGACCAAAATGCTGTGAAGTTTTGTGGACAGTCTTCCGGCACAATGCACAGAACCCTGTCTGGCATGACCCACAGGAGATGTGGTTATTGTTTCCAATCTGCGACCAAAGTAAACACATACAAATCATGAGGCGTTTGTGCTGTGCGATGTGAAAAGAAACAATAAGAAGAACCACAGTTTTTTTTTTTTGAAACTGGGCAAAAGATTTGCCACTTTCATTGATTAAGAAGAAGGTTTAGAGTTTTTGGCCAAAGGCCGAATTACAAAGACATCACTCTCGTGGCACTACAGTACTCAAATATTTGGCCCCTGCAAGGCACCAACACTTTGAAACATCTTTGATTCTTGCAACAAGAACCCCAACCGGCACCGCGGTGTTACGGAAGACGCGTGCACTCCTCTCGTTCCAAATTTCCCATGAGATCAACATAATAAGAGACATCATCGCCCGTCGAGACTGCGATGCGTTGGAGTCAATGAGGTTCCACCAGGCTTTCACTGAATGGACCGTCACCCAAGCTGTAGGGTTCACATCAACCAAGCCAAGCCAAGATTTGATCATTTCCCAAACTCGAACCGTGTAGCGGCATTGGAAAAGGAGGTGAGCCGCGGTTTCCTGAACTTGCTTGCAGAGGGGGCAGCGATCATAGTTAGGCCATCCCCGGCGTTGGAGCCTGTCGGCCGTCCATATTCTATTATTGATCACAAGCCAAGCAAAGAATTTGCATTTGGGGGGAGCCCAGATCTTCCACACCAACTGTTGCATGTTGGAGTCAACTAAGCCCATGAACTGGACCTTGTAGGCCGAGGACGCGGAGTAAGAGCCATCATTAGAAAGCTTCCAAGAGATAGAATCAGCCACGTCGGGGTTGAGTTGCACCACAGATAATTTCTCCCAAAGGTTGACGAACTCGGTCAGGTGTGTAGCGGAGGTGATCCCGTCTGTTTTGACTTGAGAGACCCAGAAGTTATTATCCAAAGCCTTCTGAACCGAACATCCCTTTCTTTTTGATAGGTCAAAGATCTTCGGGGCGATGTCTTTGGGTCTCATGCCATCTAGCCAAGCAGACTCCCAGAAGGAAGCACGAATACCGTTGCCAAGCAACACCTTGGTGGCAGCAGCAAAAATGTTTTTATCATTCTCATCACATGGGTTACCCAAGCGAACCCACGGCTTCACCGGATCCAACCATTCTGCCCAAAGCCAACGGATACGAAGCGCAGACGCAAACTTCCTCATATTTAGGATACCTAGCCCCCCATGGACCTTGGACTTGCAGACCTGTTCCCAGTTGATCTTGCATTTGCCACCGGTGACCTTGTCACAACCAGCCCAAAGGAAAGCACGCCGAAGAGAATCAATCTTTTCCAGAACCTCAATTGGAAGGTTTAACGCTGTCATATAATAAATGGCAATGGCCGTGATGACAGACTCAGCTTCAATCAGTTAAGAATTCACTCGAAGCATGCATGCAGGCTGAAGCCAATGAACAATTTCTTTGTCGAAGTTATAACATAGTCATGAGTGATCCAAGTTATATATGTAACTGAATTTGGAATAAGCAGTCTAAATAAACTAATCATCATATACCTGCGTACAAGCACCAAACAAAAGAGTAATAAAAGCCCTAATGGCAAAAAAAATCTTTTACAACGAATGAACTGACCCCGAATAGCTGTATAAGAAAAAGCACTTGGTTTGATTTTTTCAATGCAAAAGAGAGGCAACTCACAGTTTCAAAAACAAAAGGTAGGCAAATGCATCATTCTCATAAACTATTATTATGGTTGCTCGTCTCAGATATCTTTATGAAAGAAAAGGAAAACAAGTTCACGTTACCTTTGGAGTTCCTTTACCACATGTAGGACAAGGGTGACGATATCGTCCTTGAGGCAATGGGGCAGGAGCTGGAGCGTCCTCTACACGCCCCCTCCCTGGATTCATGCGCGCTTCCCATCTACGGATTTCCTCCCGAGAAAAAAGATCACATGCACCCGGTCTGAAAGCAACCCATGTTTCTTCTTTGTCAAGGTGCATATATATACGACAATGGGGGCAAAACATATCACTAAAAGAGAACTCACCTGAAGTGTTCATATCCAACAATTGCAAAGTTACATTGGTAGCAGAAGTAATGCCCGCAGTTCGAACATGTCATCTTATTGCATCCTGATATCTTATATATAGCGATCTTGCATCGTGGGCACTGTTTTGCATCCCTCATAATTGCCTGGAGGCTGAGTACTTCATCTGTCAAATTCTGATCACCGCGTTCCTGCCTAGATTTTAGCCGTTCCTGCACCAAACAAAAAGATCATTTAAAGACATGACAGATCAAAATGACACGAGATATGTACAAATAAATTGTCTCTAGGAAGAGTGCATTTTGCCCTCATTTTACCAAAGTTGGTCGAAATGCAAAATCCTCTTTATCATAGTCATCCAGCAAATGTAAATAGAAAAACAAAAGTACATGTGCATCGATGCAATAATTCAAAACACTCCAAGCCATATCACTTTTCTAGATTTCTCATTTTCTCTGTTAGCTAGTGGATATATATTAGTAGTAATGAAACAGCCCCACAATTTAATAACCATATCCAAGATAAGCTAAATAGATGTGAGATAAAGTTCTCCTACCTCCAACTTTCGAATTTTTTCCTCTGCGGTCATACATTGTTTCCCCACATGACGGTGGGATGTACAAAGCGTGCAGAAGCTGAATAGACAACTCGGACACACCGCATCGTTACTTTCATCCTCCAAGCAAGCAGTTTCGCACCTTGGACAATAAACTAAATCATTCATGGCATCGAGAGTTCTCTGAAGAAGCAGTTTTTCCCAACGTTCATACTCATCCTCCGCCAGAAGTGTTTTCAATATATGAGGAGAAACAACACCTTCACATTTTGTATCAGGACACGTCAACTTCAATACAGTTCCTTCCTTGACATGAATTTTGCAGTATGTTTGGATGCATTTCCGGCAAAAGAAATGATGGCATGGAAGTGTGACAAAATCGACACCTGTGAGGTAATAACTTTTTTTAGAAAATTTAGCTAAGTAGTGAATTAAAATTAGAAGCAACAATAATTGAGATACCAAGGGTTAACAAATTAAATGGAAAATATCCAAGTTGGACATGGCATGCATCATGAATACCCCCATTGCACTATAATTTTATTGTATTACAAAAAAAAGACAGTACCCTCAGAACAAAGGCAAAAAAAAAGCATCTGAATGAGAATCTCTAATATGCCATCTATGCAATGGTGTTACATGTGTAGTATGTAGTCAACTCAAAGAATAAGGATAATGCATGAGGTAATGGGGACTAGCCAAAATAGGCCATTGTCAGTTACTCCCTCCGTAAGAAATATAAGAGCGTTTAAATCACTAAAGTAGTGATCCAAATGCTGTTATATTTCTTTACAGAGGGAGTATAACACAGCTCAAGACCTCTACAGTATAAGTCTCTACATAACACTACAAACAGCTAAGCAGAAAAATAAGACTTACCAGGAAACTCGCTGAAGCATATCATGCAGTCATGAATATCATGTAAGAAGGCTTCATGACGCTTATCATCATCATATCTCATAATCCTTGTAATTATAACATCAGGTGCAGAATCATCTCGACAAGCATGCTTATCCCCACCATCTTCATGACAGGTTAGATCACCCTTGCTTAAAATTATCTCATCAGCAAACCCTAGGTGAGAAAGTAAAGAGTTTTGGAGCCACTGAACCCACTGATATATTACTTCCATGCCCTGCTGCTCTTCCCAAATCATATCAAGCATTTGACATAACGATGAAATCTTCACTGTGTCCAGCCATTCGGTGGAGATGGTGAAAGAGGGAGGTTGATGACTCGGGTAGGACGAAGGCAGGTAGCATGTTAGCAGGATTGGAGGCAAATGCTCAACCCTAAACTTGTAAACAAGATTATCCGAGGCATCACCATCACATGTTTCCCCATAATTTAATGTTCCAGTACCATAGTCGAGCCTTGCCGAGACATCTATACCATCATCTGGTATCTCAATATGTACATGAACCTGTGTACGTAACAACATTGACATATTAAAACCCTAATTGCCCTCAGTAGCAAGAATAAGGTTGGAAAAATAATAATTGTGATGGACATACCTGGAAAGACCGTTGACCTTCTTTTTTGTTTAAAATGACGATGCTGTCTCCAAAAATTGCTTCCAAGGCAAATATCTGGACATTAAATTTAGTTTGTATCAGACACAAAAAAGTGATCACCATACGTATGTCCAATTAAAAAGCCAGCAGGCACACACACTTTGGTGTATTTGAGAAAAAAAACATATGTCCAATTTAAAAACAAGATAACAGCAAAATAAGAATGAGAAATCAACACAAAAGCAGGCATGGCTTAACTGGTAGAATATCTCTTCTCTGGGACTGGGTGTGCAAAACACAACAAAAAATGTTGTTATGAGCGTACGTAGGCCAGCTACTTCACACACATGAAAAAAATATAATTCCAGACCTCACAACCGGCCCTTAAAAATTACTCAACTATAGAATCATAAAGTTTAAGTTATTATTTCCATGAAGCTAGCTACTCAACTATGCTTTACCATCTACATACAGTACTGAAAGAGCAAGATCATGCATGCATCCCCGAGTCTGAAAGAAAGAGAGAAAAGAAAAGTGAGACATCACCTCGTCCTCCTGCATCTGATGGTTAGCGCGCAGCTCCTCCTGACTCAACTCCATGTGAATCCCCACCAGCTTTGTTGCTATTTCTTCCTCCACGACAGCATCCTCAGCGGTGGCGGGGACGTCCACAAAGGCGTCGTCGTCGGACACCTCGGCGGCGCGGGAGCGGGAGCACTCGGGGACCTCCGCAGGGACGGGGTTAGGGTTTAGGGCCTTCGAGTGAAGCTCCGGCGCGGGCGCCACACATCCAGGGCCTCCCCGCGGCTTCCAGTACTTCCGCGGCATTGCCTTACGTCCAACGGCCTTGGTTGCTACCGACTACAAGAATCGGTCGGGGCAGGGCGTTTTGCGGCGGCTCGGTGATTTGGCCTAGCGTCGGGCAGGGCTAGCTTAAGGACGATGAATCAGAATCACGTACGGGGCGGTCGATTAGATTGCGTGTTTGCGCCGCCTCTGCCACCTTGACTTGCGAGCGTTTGATCGGAACTACGGTAAGATTTACTGTCTGTGATGTTGCAAGTCTGTTTATGTTCGTTCGGACTCCTTCAGTTTTTGTGATACTTGTTTTCTTTTCATACCTTGTTTGAGTTGGACAGTTTATAAGAAGGGAAACGCTTGCCTTCATCTGACTGATAATGACGCGCGCCGTCTATGTGGCCGTCAAATCTGATTTTGATCCGTTAACTTGGGGATCAACCTATTTACATAGTCTAAGGGCGCGCTTGGATTGGGTGTATTTAAATACACCGGTATTTAATTTACAGGTGTAATTTACCGGGCCAGTAGTGATTTCCGGCCGGAGGCGAAACGACGGATGGAGAGGTGTATTGTTTACAGGTGTATTCCTAAGCAAAACGACATTCCAAGCGCGCCCTAAGTATATCGCAACTGAGCCATTGTTGCAATCTTCCCCACCACAGCAACTAGTTTGTTGCAGGATCTGGATCTTAGCAAAATGTTGACCGCCTCCTTCATACTCCACGTGTTTTTTGTGGGGCTACTCTCTCTCTCTCTCTCCACTTCTTTTTCTTGAGGAACCGGCAAGAGCACTCCCTTTTTCATTTCAGATAAAAACAAAGGCCCTGTTTGATAGTAAAGTATTTTCTAAGTATTCTTAAAATACTGTAGTTTTTTCAAATATCATAGTTTTATTTATTGTGACCTGTTTGGTTAGCACTAAATATTGTATTATTAAAACTAGAGTATTCTTAAAACTGTAGTAATTTCTTTGCATATAAAAAAGAACCTTGGACCTCTTTTTTTAAAACAGAGCAAGGGAAAGAAACGAGCTAGCCAGGCTGGGTACGTGCCTTGGGGTGGATGGTTAGTACGTACCTTGCTGTTCAGTTTTTGCATTCTCCTGTTCTTAAAGCATCTCCAGCCGTTGGCCCCACAGGGGCGCCTAAAATCGCCACCTGGGGTGACCCGGCGTAAAAAGTGGGTCTACGGGCGAGTTGGCCCCCAGCCGCCGCCCCAGGGCCGGCCCTAGGCGTGAAAAAAAAAGACAAACTTGGGCTGAAACACGCCACTTTTCGGTAAATATGGGCTTTTATGTTCGCAAATTTGGGCTAAAATACGCCATTACATATAAAAACTAGTCAAAAAAACTTGTTGAAGGCAGAGAAGTCTCCGTCGTCGCCGCCATCGTCGACCTTCTCCTCCTTGACTCGGGCGCCCCTGCTGGACCCCTCCCCGGCTGGTGGCGGCGGCGGCGGCGCGTCATCGTCGTCGTCGCTGTCGTCGATGATGACGACGCCGCCTTCGTCGCGGCCTAGGCGGCGCTGCGCGAAGCGCTCTAGGGTGGCGCGCTGGCGCTCCCTCGCCATCTTCAGGGAGTCTTGGCGTGCCCATTCAAGGGCCGCGTCGTCGTCGAGCTCGACCTCGCCGTGCTCCGCCTTCACCGGCGCCAGCAGCCCCGGCTCCGTCTTCACCAGAGCCAGCCCCGGCTCCGTCTTCACCGGCGCGAGACCCGGCTCCGTCTTCGGCTTGACGAAGCGCGGGGGAGGAGCCGACGAGGAGGCGCGCCAGCCGCCCTCGCTGATGACAATGCCGGCGCTGCGTGTACGTCGGCCGAGCGGCGTCTCCGCCGCGGACTCGGCCTTGACGTCGAGCAGCGATGGAGTGCCGGAGGAGTGGGAGGAAGAACGCGACGAGGAAGAGGAGGAGGAGCCGAACCTCCCCGGCGCTCATTGCCCGCCGCGCCAGCGGTGCGTCGGGGCGGCTGTCCTCGCCGGGGGGTACGCCAACGGTGGGTTGTTGCCGCCCTCGAGGTGCGCCAGCACGCCGTCGAGGGTGCGGCCGGGGACGCCCCACCAGAGGTGGCGCCCCTCGCTGTTCTTGGTGCCGACCACCGGCGCCCCGTTGGTGGACGCCAGCCGTTGCTGCTGGCGGCGCTCGAAGTACGCCGCCCAAGCCGCGTTGTTGTCGGCGGCGTACTGGGGAAGGGAGTGCTCGGCGTCGGTGAGTCAGGCGCGCGCGATCTCGACCTCGTCGGCGAAGTACGATGGCTTGGTGACGGCGTCGGGCAACGGGGGAATGGGCACTCCCCCATTGTTGAGCCTCCAGCCCGTCGGCCCGGCGCGCATGTCCGGCGACGCCGGGATGTCCGCCTGGAACAGAAGCCAGGACTCCTGTTCACGGAGCGAACGGCGGCCGAAGCCGTTGGCCGCCGCCTCATCTCCGGGGAAACGCTCGGCCATCGGGGAGAGGGAGTGGCTGGGGAGAAGAGATCGGCGGGAGAGGGAAGACTGGGGGTGGCACTCCAACGCAGGCGAGCGAGACCATATATAGCCGAGGGAGGGGAGGCGTCGGCGCGCCGCCCCGTGACGCGCCGCCCGTGAGAGGAATCAATGGAAAAGCTGACCGGCGGCAGCCTTGCCATTGATTCCCCGTGGGAAACCGAGGCGTCGGGAAGACGAGGCGGGCGGTGTCGCTGACGCGGCTGCCCAACGACGCGGCTGCCACGTGGCGCTTTCGCGCCAAAAACGATTCGCCCGGCGCCCCCGAGCGCCCCCCAGCGCGCCGGGTTCGGGTTGGGTCCGCCGGCGCCAATTTCGGCCCGAGCCGACGAAAAATGGGCCCTTGGGGGCGCGACTGGGCCGATTTTTTGGTGGCGGCGGCCGAAAAGTCGCCTGAGGGCCCTTGTTGGGGACGCGGCTGAAGATGCTCTTATGCGTGCGTATGGTAAGGTAAGGACGTAGCTAGCTGCCGGGAATAACGCACCGAAAATTGTAAAGAAGCCAGCTAGGCGTGTTTACCCTGCTAACGGTAAGCTATATGCTAGGTAGCTGTATGTGCATGGCAGATTAGTTGAATGCAACAGAAAAAATATTCAAACAGCCAGCTAGCTGCTTGTGTTTGCACTGCTAACACAATGGCTAGGCAGCAAAATTTATAGCAGTGTGCGACAACAACTAAACAAGTTTTATGTATTGTGAATACTCCAAAATATTGTGTTTGATGAAACCATAGTATCTCATACCTACTGGCAAAATTACTTCAGTTTTCGATACTTCAATTTATTTTACCATTTGCTATCAAACACAGCCGAAGGGTTTATGTACAGAGCTCTCTCCACCTTATCCTCACTCGATGGTCATCGTCCACCTGATTTTTCCCAAACGACTTTTCCTATCGGTTTCCTCCTTAGACGCATATTTTTCCCAAAAATCAATTCTCCTGCCCTCGACCAGGTCCGCTCGAAGCTACTAGCAATGCCACACCATTGTTGCAATGCTACGACAACCATTACATGGTGTCGCTCTCAAGTACATGATGGCCTGCCGCAAGCATCATAACACGGCGCGCACGCCGACATGTCGTGCGGCCGCGCACCGACGAGTTTCTGCAGCAACGATGGAGTTGCAAAAACAACAACGGCCGAGCCACTGCGACATCATCTTTCATTGCAAAAAAAAATCTGCAATATCATTCATGCTGTAAAAGTCATTTTCACAACATCATCTATGTTGCAAAGGACAAAAAATAATTTGAACTTCTGTTGTAAATGTTTCTGCAACATGAACTTTAAGAGCCACACTATTTTGTTATAGCACGTTATTTTTTCATGGGCTGGCATGCATGGCCGTGCATGGGGTCTCTTGTGTCC